TGATTTCCACTTAATTTGAAATTATGATAAATATTTTTTGAAAATTATTTACTATAATTTTCTCAGATAATGCGCACCCTACGTATAGTGCGCCCCTCTACTTTTCCCAAAAAATCACTTTTTTTCTCAGATAGTGCGCGCACTATAGGGCGTCAAACAGGGTATATTGACACAAATCATGTAAATAATCAAACTAGACAAAAACTTAAAGTAAATGTTATAGAACTTAAATTATTAAAGAATATTCCTGAGTAAATATTATGTGTTATGACATAATGTTTTGATATTATTATGTAATTTACTTAAACTATTAATCCATATAAAATTGCAGTATATTACAAAACTTATTACATACAGTCAGTAAATAAAAATTTAAAAATATTTACTATTGTGTAATATTAATATAATATTGTATAGTAATATTAATAATAAAATACTTAAATTGAAAACTTGTATTTATTCATTATAAGAATTGTAATTTTTATTTTCTTATTACATTGTATATTATATAACATAACATTTACAATTAAATAAATTCACACTCAATATAACAACGTTTCAAATGAAATTAATGTTTTTTATTTATGGCCAATAAATATAGGTCTGCACCGAATGTCCCTCTATTTTAGTGGTTAATTGACCAACATTTGGATCTTTAATAACAAAATCTACCTGGTCATTATTTGTATTATAGACAACAACTACTGTCCCGTTATCGGGTCTCACAAACGCAACCGACTCGAAATTATTGACACTTTTATCGCCTTTTATGGAAACCCTCACAGAATCGGGTGCCAAGAATTTGGAGTATTGGCCCAAAATGTAGAATTTGGTGTCTTTGTAGTACTCCTTAGCCTTGGGGTCCACCAGAATGGGCGCCTCCGCTGAATACATGGCCCAATTCGGGTGACCGTATATATCGAGTGCCAGATTCCACTCCACCCAACCCCTCGTCCAGTGCTCTAAATTCTGGGATAACATGTGGAATGGGTTTCAAAAAAACTTGTTAAACAATTAAATTATTTTTAAATAAACACTATTTCTGTGATTTATGTTTTAGATCCTGAAATGTTTGTATAATTTCTATTGCATTCAGTCATAATAGTTACGATAAACACAATTTAAATGACATAAACGCTTTCAAAATTTGCAATTTAGTTCAGTATAAGTATGTTATATTATACTTATTTAAATGATAATTACATAAATTTCAATGTTACTTATATCAATAAGTACCCTAGATGACATAATTGGTAATAGTCTAAATTCTCAACATAATACAGTACTTACATTCATAATATCCTGGGCATAGCTCTCGGCACCGCCCCAATTGCCCAAATGCATAAGAGTTCCCGGGGGTACTGATTTGGGCGTGTTAAATTCTTGACAACACTCACTCGATATGACAAACTGATCCTGGTGTTTTCTGTGAACATTCTCTAAGGCTGTCCATTTTTTCGGGTCACCCCCGTAACAGTGATAAGCAATACCTATATAGAGTGAATTTTATACTAGCACATATCACGTTATATACCTAGATATGTGACAAACCATTGAGATATTGTGCGGTTTCCTTATCATTAAAACTCGTGTCAACCCAGTCCTCAAGTAGGTCCCAGGCGTCATCAAATAGCATTAAATTGATTTTATCCCGGCCATACCCGGCCTTTTTGAGTGCCGGTCCCAAATCCAGTTTCACAAAATCCCGTTCCAGTGTTGCGTTAAAACCCATAGCGTTGTAGTCGTGGTGCTCCTGACGCCCGGCCGCCGGTTCGTTCTCAATGGTGAGCCCCCAGAACTCTATGCCATTCTCCTTATACTTGTCTAGAAATCTAGTATACAAAAGGGGGCATTAAGTTAGTACGTCACATTGGATGAGAGCTCAGTTTACAGGTATGTTTTATTAACAGGTAATCAAATGGTTATAATAGTTTATTTATAGTTATGTTACTTTTTAAAGATTTTTTATAATAGTTTAAATATTTATCTAGTTTTGTATTTTCATTTACAAAGTCTTACTTGACAAAATAATTGGCCCACGTTTTATAATACTTCTCACCAGGTTTTCCAAGTATATACCCGGCGTCACCCGTATGTCCCGTGGTTTTCATCCATCCCGGTGCTGACCAGGGGCTGGCAAACAGTTTCAATGGGCTAGCGCTTACATTTTTCGCCAATTTAATGTACGGAAACTAAATAAGTAAAAAAGTAATAATATTCTGTACGTCCACTAACGTGATATATTATTATAAATCTAAAAATTATCAGGATAAAATTATAAGGTATTAATTATTACTTTATATTCTAAATCTTCCATTTGTAGGGCAAATGAGTTGAGCTCGAAATCGTCCGCCTTATCATTGTATGTATAGGCGCGGGGAGAGAAGTCGCACCCGGCTATTGGCACCCGACCCATGTTATACTCAATACCATTGTGTGAGAAATAGTCCTTGATCACATTTGTGGCTATCTCTTGGGGCATACTCTTCAGGTTGAGACCACTCGCGTCAGTGAAAGCGCCGCCAAAGCCAATGATTTTCTGATATTTCGTGTTCTTATCGATAGTCAATACAACACTTTCATCAGCCGTTTCTGTATCTCTAAAACGAAATGTAAAGTTATATTTCAATTATAACTAAAATCTTACATTATAACAAGGGTCATTCAATAAATTAATATTCAAACTTGTCTTATTAGAATAGTATAGTTATTTCTTATTTAGCATTATATAAAACTAATTAACTAGCAAGCTCATTATTATAAGTCAAACATACTTTTCATTTTGATTCACCAGATTTTGTGTCGAGGCTTTCAATACAGTTTGTTTGAGTCGATCGCCTCTTTTGTTGGTCTCAAACAATAATACCGTTCCCTTCGGTTGCTTAACAATAGGATCCAAATCATCGCAATAAGTGGTGTTACAGACACAGTATGGGCTGTCCTTTCCTTTCCTGGCTATACAGTCACGACGGCTTTCCACTGAAAATAAAATTGTCTATTAACTCATGATTATATAAAATAATTTTTCCTAACCTAATGTTATACTAATGAGTATAATATTCAACAAAATAAATAGAAAATATTTCATTGCTATATATTCTGATAAAAAATATTAATTGAAAAAGTAATTATATTTTTTCTATAAATATTTTAAAAGTATTTTAATGAATAATATTAAAGTAATATTAATAAACTATTTTATATGTTTCTCATGTTATGTGGCATTGAATTTACGGGAGCACTTATAATTTTATAATCTGGCACATACGGATAAAATTCATTAGGAACAATTAATTTATCAAATACTTATTCATTAGATAAAATACCTGTTATTTTATAAACACTTACACTCTTTATGAACAATTATTTAGCTTATAGGTCTGTACTTAAAATATCGCTTAAGGATTTTTTGAGGCAGGTATTTATGGCTATAAGAGACATGTACTTGATAACGGCATTATTATTATATAAAAATTTTAAATTTTTTAATTGCTCAATTTTGTTGAATTGTTTTCAAATTACTTCTCGTAAACAAGATAATTATAATCTTATGTGTAGGGGCATTTGTTTTAATAATCATGTTTAAATGCATATAAGTGCTTTGTGACACATTTATACTTTTGTCTCATTGGGCTTGCTCAATATTATCAAAAATATATCTGGTATACTTGTACTAACAAGTAAGATCATTTAATTATCTATCAAATAAAATAATTTCATATTAAAAATATTTTTAGTTATTTTCAAAACAATCCATGACTCATAAAATTAATATACTATGATTGCACCTTTAGATGAGGTTACTTAATCTAAAATTAAATTATCATGATGATTTTTAGCTTTAATGAATGTTTAACCAGAAATGTGGAATCTTGTGATTTCTCATATGAATTGAAAATTATGTTGTTGTGACCACTGGGTCAAATGTTATTGCCAAAAAACACTTACCGAGGTTCTACTGTACTTATAAAAAAATCTAATATTTTCATTTAATAGATAAAATCATAAATGTTTTTACGTGTTTTGGCGATTTTAAAAAAATATTTCATAGATCAATAGATTTTAAAAATTAAATATCATAATAACCGTTAGGTTTCATTGTATTTATTTGAATATGGGCAAAAGCTGTTCAAACATTTATTATTTTGTTTTTCGTGGTTCAGATTTATGTCTATAAGAGATTTTATTTAAATAATTTAAATTACAGTTATTTACACCTTATTGATATTAATTTCAAAGATTCAATCATTCAAGTTAGCATATAATCAGGTACACAGATTATAATTGTGTAGCAACTGAGATTATGTTAAATATTGGCTACAATTAATTAAATGATTAGAAATAAATTTTTATGAATATTTCATTTTATCATTATAGTAATCTGGAATTAGTTAATTCCGGGACATGTTAGTTACTTTGCATTTATCCAGGACAGATACCCCAGGTCAAATACCGGAGCTGTGTAGTTCAAACCAAAATTTTTAGTCATTACAACCGTATACTATTATAAAGTTTCATATTTTACAAACCAGACTATTGTCATATAATTTTATTTAAAATTTAGAAATAAATAATAATCTATTATGATTTTATAATATTTTTATTGTGTTATCAAAATATTTAATTCCAATACACATACGACTGAATTGAATGCTCGGGTATATGTGTATCAACTTTACCATGAGCGGGATCATTTATTGTTATGTCAAGCGCTGTAGGACTATCATTTACCATAACAATTACCACTGCATTATCTGGCCTCTCAAATGCCATAGACTTAAATCCACCAGGTTGTTTACTAACATTCAACTCAACCCTAACTGAGTCGGGTGCTACAAACTTGCTAAAATGTCCAATGGCATAGAATTGGGGATTTTTGTAATATTCTTTCTTATCAACGTCAATGATCAGGGGTGCGCCCGCCATTTTCTTATCCTTATTAGGGTTACCAAACACGTTCAGGGCCAAATTCCACTCCACCCAACCGCTTACATAATGGGTAAACGTCTAATTAATAATAAATGAATTTTTATTATAATAATTTGATATCTATCGTATACTAATGTTAAGCACATACATCTATGATTTGGTTGGCATTCCCAGGACCCGAACTCCATTCCCCCAGTTTGGCCCGTTCTTGAGGATCGGTAGGTTTGTGAAAGTTGTAACAACATTCAGTCATAAAAGTGAAAAATTCCGGATATTTCTTATGGAGGGCATCAACTGCCTCGTACCTATTGGCCAGGTAGCAGTGGAAAGCAATGCCTATCAAATGTACAAATGTTAGCATATTAACATAAGTAAGGATATTTAAATTATAATAACTTGTAATATATTACCTGTAACATATTTAGCAGTGTCATGGTCACTGAGACACGTGTCCACGTACTCGATCATTGGATTCTTATCACTGCCATCATCGTAGACCATCAAGTTCATTTTGTCTTTTGTATATCCAGCCCTAGTCAATGCGGGACCAAGGTGTTTTTTCACAAAATCACGTTCAATGGATGCGTTTACAAAATTCATTGAACTAAATGACATTGGCTCATTTTGCATGGTCAGTCCCCATAACTCAATGCCATGCTTTTTGTACTCATCCAGGAATCTATGTTTTATATAAAATTATATAATTATTTTTTATTATTTGATTACTATATATATTTACTTGACAAAGTAATTAGCCCATGTTTCGTATTGTTTGTCTGGTTGAGTTTTCAATAACTGTTTATCATTGAGCCAATGCGGTGTATTCCAGGGACTTCCATAAAGTTTAAGACCATGTTGAGCCACCTGTTTAGCTAGGTTAATTTGCGGAATCTATATATTTCAAGAGAATAAAAATGAATTTTAAATTTAATAAACTAAATATAAAATAATATTAAATACACCACAGGTGTGCAACAGTGTGTATTATTAATGCATTAAAGTTACTATTTTTAGATAATCAAATTAAATAAATCAACAGCGAGATTCATGTTTAGATTTAAAAGTTTTTTAGGTTTGTTACATTTAATTTTGATAAGAAATTTTAAAATTACTTTATATTTAATGTCCTCATCCGGCAAAGCAAAATGTGCAAGGGAATAATCATCCTTTGTATCATCGTATGTGTACTCATGGGTGGAGAAATCGCATCCGGCTATAGGTATACGAGCCATACTCAGACCAACACCAGATGCTGAGAAATAGTCCTTGATAACTCTATCAGACATGTCCTTGGGCAAACTACCAATATTAATAGTTGCTGCATCCGTAAACGCAGCACCTATACCAAATATTTTCTGGAACTTTTTACTTTTGTCCAGGGTTAGTACGACACGATCAGCATTATCATGGTCATTTTGTTTGACAAATTTTAACTGGGATTCTTTGAATCTGTCCCCACTTTTACTGGTCTGGAAGGACAATATAGTTCCAACGGGTTGTTTGGTAATAGGATCTAGGTCATCGCAATAGGTAGCGTTGCAAACACAGTATTGAGTGTCAATTCCTTTACGACCCACACATTGTTGTCTACATTTAATTACCGCTATTGCAATATAAAAGTTAGTTAACATTAATGTAAAGTTTAGTATAATAAAACATATAATAGTTACCAAATGTACATGACAAAAATACAAATATACGACAAATAAAATAAAGATTCATTTTATAAAAAAAATTAGAAGGAATTACACTCCTAACTTGTTTAAACATAAATAATTTGCCATTTATATATATATCCAAATATTATCAGTTTCAATGAAAATAGTGCAAGTACACCTTAATGTGGAGCTGTTTATCTACGCACTTTATAAATATTTTATAAAAATAATTACCTGTATTTATTAAATATTTTATCTTAGATATAGTATGCGTGCACTTGATAATAAACGTTCCTAATAATTATAACAAGGATATTAATAGTATTCTGAAAATAAAATTTAATACATGAAATATTAATCCTTAAAAAACTAAAATAATGTTAAACTAATTATATATTGTGTAAAAAAATTATTAATTTAATTTATTTATTTATTAAATATCGGTAATTTAATAATAATTACTGTATAAGCTAGTAATTTAAATAATATAATAGAACTTATTAATAATTAAATAAATTTTTATAAGATTGTATAAGTACTACCTTAGTTTAAGTTTACCTATCATTGGGTTAATTTAACATATTAGATCAATTTTTATAAATGGTCATTTATTTAAAATAGATATTGTTTTGTAAATAGTATTATAAATCATATTTTTAAATGGATTTTATTGTGAATACTTCATTTTAAATATTAAATAAATATTTATTTAAAAATACATGTAGCTATGTTATTTGATTTTAAATCATGATTAATTTATAAAGAATCTTATTATATTTTTATGTAAACTTCATATGAAATAGTTTACTCAAAAATGATAATTATAATGCAAATACTGTTATTCATTATTTATTCACTACTATTTCACTATCAAATGTAAATTATTTTAAATAGGCTTCAAAATTAATTAAATATTTTGTAATATCATTTAAAAATTTATAATGTATTATAATATTATATTTCTGTTTTTTGTCAATTTTTTGCGCCACCAATATGCATTACCTACTGGTTCACCACAAGTACCCGTCATATTATTCAACAATGGCTTAGGCATTAGCTATGACTACTTCAATGGGGACAGGGGTGTCAAAAATGTCATTAATGCTAAACAGTTCATTAGAACAAGTTATGATATAAATGGATTGGACATCAACTACAACAACCGATATATGATTTGGTCAACCATTAAATACAAGACATTATTGATGGCTGAGTTTAAGACAAAAGTGGACTCAACTGACGGCAAAACACGGCTCAAGCTATTTAAGAGGATCATTGTGTCCGAAGATATAATCAGCAGATACCTGGCCATCGATTGGGTCCACGATTTGCTCTTTTACTACAACGAGACCAACATTAATGTCATTAATATTCACGAACCGGAAGCGACTTATCCCGTGACCCATAACTACCACCATAAGTACCGCACATGGAGTACAGGTCATGTGGTGGTCAACCCGTTTGACTCGTTTATCGTTTGGTCGGAATATATCGCTTCCAACGGATCGGCGGTTATCCGGAAGTGTAACGAAGATGGAAGTGATCCCAAAATTCTGGTCTATGAGGACATCGGACTTCCGGTGTGTTTGGGGATTGACTTTCGGTCGAAGACTATCGTATGGATTGATAATGAGTTATATTCGCTGTCATCCATCGACTACTCCGGCGGTAATCGGCAGACATTAAGACAATCGAGACAGTGGTTCAGTGACTGTTTATCGATGGACGTGTTTAACGGATCCGTGTACTGGACCAACACTAAAGGCATATATAGGTTAGACCTAACAGGTACGTCATCTGAAGTGGAAATGGTGGTCAAGGCTGGTGTCTGGTTCAGTAGGAATACGGACATGGATTACGTGCGAGTTATGCATCCATTGAAACAACAAATGGGAACTAATTATTGCCGTAATAGTAGTTGCGATCATTTATGTGTGCCAAATGGCAAACAGGTAGGTGCTATCATATTTATCTAATTTATATTTTATTTTTAAATTAAATTGATGAAAACCAGTAAGTTTAATTAGGGTATGATATTAAGCTAGATTACCAATTAGAAAAAATTATCAGGAATGATTTTATTATATTTTAAAATTAAGTTTAGTTTATCATTATTATGTTTGCATTAGATTTTATTATTACTACAAAATTTATAATAAGCATTATTATTTTTAATTTACTTGTACAAATTCTAAAAACACACTTGATCTAGTTCATAAATTTTAACCTGTGATTTAATCGATATTGCTTACATGCTTAAAAACAGGGCTACCGGTGCCTGTGCTCTGATGATGATCACTGGGAAGCATGCAATGACCCAAAAACTACACTTCCAGCACCGGCACAAATACCGGAAATAACCCAAAACACAACAGCTTTGACTCAATTCATGTGAACGCCTGACCCCTTATTTTTAGTCGTAAACAACGAACGAGACGTAAGACTCGTCAAAGATATCCCTAATCGCGCCGTCTATCATATGGACACCCAATTTGTCCGCCATATTAACCAAACGGTCGGTGCCATCGACTATAGCTATACCGGCAACTACGTTGTTATCACTAAAGGCCTGTCCAAAGGACTCATATTTAGCGCGCCGTTAGTGGAGGGTCGACCACAACCTAACAATATAGTCACTGAAGGGGATAATAGGCTAACCATTGACCACAAGTCTCTGGCACTCGATTGGATCCATAATATACTGTATGTTGCAGTTTGTAATAAATATAATAAGCAAGGTATTAGCGGGATATACGCTCTGAATATGACTACAACCGATAAACAAATGTACCCTGTTGTCACACATGAATCATGCGTTATTGGCGATATTAGGGTAGACCCCATCAACTCAACTTTATTTTGGATTAACTATGTGTATGAAGGCTACAGTTCCCAATATGGTGATAGAGACAAAAGTACAATAATGAGATCGTCCCAAAATGGACAGGCTGCTATAACACTGGTTGCGCCGCAGTATATTAGGCGATACACATTAAATGTAGATGTTCAGGGTAAACGAGTATATTGGGTCAGCAGGGAAAATAGCTATACATCTATTAACACAATTCTGTCAATCGGGTACGACAGCAGCAACCTACAATTTCACTACCAGTCCGACACATTTTTCAGTCATATAGCGGCTACGGATATATTTGGAAACTACATGTTTTGGATAAACAATAAAGAACATACCATATATGGCAGGAATATGAGCCTGGCGACTACAAACCCGACAGTTGGAGAGTTATATCAAACGGGTAGAGACATTACGGCAATGAAAATCGTGCACAAGTTGCGTCAACCTACCGGTGCTAACAAGTGTATGAATCACAACTGCACTCATATATGTCTGCCGTCCGGGTTGGCTAATGTAAACTATACGTGTGGGTGCCTACCGTTCCATAGGTGGAATGGGAATGATAAAGCCTGTGTGGGCAACATTGGCAACACCGATAGTACCGGTAGCACCGGTAGTATTGATAGCAATGGTGATGATAAGGATAGATATGATACGACAACTTTTGAATCTATTCCCGACCGTATTATCAGAAACAATTTGTCGGATAAAGTCGATTTGACCTCATATTATGAAGCTGTCAACAATATTATCCGGAATATTTAAATTTTTTATTTTATTAATTAATATACTGTAGTAATTAATTTTATTAATATTTAGTTTTTAGGTTTGTTCATAACTAGAACAATTGCTATAACAGTAGTTTATCATTAATTCTAATATAATTAAAGTGAGAATGTAATATTGAATTTAATATAAGTTATATTATATAACAATTTTAAAATTTAGTCATTAAATAATGTATCAAACAAAAAGGTGTATGAAATAGTTTTTATTTATAATATCCGCAGATAATTCTCATAGTAATTATTTATATTTTTATATTAGACCATCCTTGGTCTCCTAGGATATCCTAGGAATATTCCACTTGGTATTACGTGTATCTAACACAATATAGTACAAAAAGACATTTGTACCACGATTAGATTAAAAAACACTCATGAACTTGAAGCTATATAGGAGCATATAAGAGCATATAGGAGCTTGATACGATAAAATGAAATATTTTAGAACAGTGATAATAGTATAGTGAAACTATATATATATTATATTATATTATATTTTTAACCTAAATTCTAAGAAATGTTCCTAGTACATTTCTGTCATAAAAATTAGATAATTTTATTAAACTAATTGCGCCACTCTCATTTTCAGAACTATATAATGTATAATCTATTGGATTAATTTGTCATAGTAAACAAAATTACAAATTATAATGAGATTTTTAATAGCAATTGTTTTGCTAAACATTTTAATCGCGGGTAAGTACTTATTATTCAATTAATTATTAACAAATAAATATTTAACTAGTAATAAACATTATAAAAATATTTAAGTAAAAATTTGAACACAATAATTTACAGTATTAGGTGAGCTACACTTATAATTAATAGAATTATTATCCATATTACATTATAAATTCAAAATAAAATTAAATAAAATTGTATTCAACATAAATATTACAGTCTATTGTCGTAAGCCATGTGCACAACGAGACTTAGGAAAGGGACGCCTCGTGTGTGTCTGTAATACGACATATTGTGATGATTTGGATGCATTGAAACGGACCCCAAAAGGGGTGATCACTGTCTTCGAGACCAATGAGAGCGGCGATCGACTCAAACAAACGGAACTCAAGTTCGCTAACAAACCGACGATTAATGCAAATATTAGTCAAACGCTTACTATCGATACGAAACAGAGGGCACAGAAAATCATAGGTATCGGTGCGGCCATCACCGACAGCACCGGTATTAACATCAAGTCGTTGCCTCAGAACCTTCAGGATCAGTTAATTAAGGACTACTTCGCCGATACGGGACTGGAGTATAATTTGGTGCGAATACCCATCGGAGGGACTGACCTCTCGACCCATCCGTACAGTTATGATGACAACAATAAAGACGACTTCGAGTTAAAACATTTCAATCTCACGGCCGAAGACCACGACTATAAGGTTTATTTGTTTTTATAAAATTATTTTACAATCAGTTTTAAAATTTTCTATTTTTAGATACCATACATGAAATCTGCGTCCAAAATAAACCCGCACATCAAATACTTTGGCAGCCCGTGGGCACCACCTGCGTGGATGAAAAATAATAGCGACCTCATTCATGGTGGATATCTCATTGGACAGCCAGGTGGACAATATTATAAAACATTTGCCAAATACTTTGTCAAGTATGTGTGTTATATTATCCAACATTACTAGTGCGTTTGCCTAGTTTGTTGAAATTTGACTTAAAATCTAAAATTTAATTATGATATGCACTATATTAAATAAATTATTTGAACCTGTTCAGATTTCTAGACGCTTATAAATCAAATGACCTACACTTCTGGGGCATAACTATAGAGAATGAGCCGAAAGCGGGCGATGCAAAGACCTATGACTTTAATTGTTTGGGTTTTACACCCGAACTCCAGCGGGAATTCATCATCAAAGACTTGGGCCCCACGCTTGAGGCGGCGGGTTATGGACCCAAACAGTTGGATGTTATGATATTTGATGACCAAAGGGACCAAATAGTCAGATGGGCTAATGTTATACTGAAGGACAAGGAGGCGGCCAAATACGTGGCCGGCACTGCTGTCCACTGGTATAACAATAATGACACAAATGTGGGAGAATTGGACAAAACCCGTGACATCGACCCCACGAAGTATATTATTAACACAGAGTCTAGTAATGCCCACCGAGGTGTTGGATCATGGGAAAATGCTGAGAGGTATGCCAAGGATATCATTGTGGTAGGTGCTATATAAACTAATTGATATTTATACTATTAATTTTTATAGAATTTATAATATTTTACTATAAGTTTGTATAATTATAAGTGAATAATATAAATAATATAACTTTCTATAAAATTATACTAGTAAACCATTTTTTATTTTAGGATCTTAACCACTATGTGGTAGGGTATGTTGGCTGGAACATGGTGTTGAACATGGCAGGTGGACCAAGGTATTGCGGGGACAGTCAGAACGCCCCCATATCGGTGGACGCCACCAAACATGAGTACTACAAACAGCCCTCGTTTTACACTCTGGGTCATTTCAGCAAATTTTTAGTCCCGGAGTCCGTCAAGATTGGCATCACTGAAGACAACCCCCAGTCCGATGTGTACAGCACTGCCTTTCAGAGGCCCGACGGCGGGGTTGTTGTCATTGTCTTCAACAGAAGGAACGACACGTTGGCGCTGACTATCAAAGAGGGCAGCAATCGGGTCACTCATACCGTCAAACCCCATGAGATTCAGACGTATATCTATTATGATATTTAAAATTATCGTTCATTTTATTAATTATGTTTAAATAATTTGTATTTGAGATTTGTATTTAAATAAACTGATTCATTTTATTAGAATTTGATTAATGTTTTTAAATATAATTTTAAAAGTCATTATTAATGGCTCATTAATAAAATTATTATAAGTATTAAGTAGGGTTGTGTTAAATAAATGTATAATATACATTGTATATCATAATGCTATTTTCAAATTAAATTTAAAATTAATGTTATTTAAATAAACAACTTTTAATTTCTAATTATTAAATTATTAAATTAATTTTTATTGCATGTTATAATTAATACAAATTAATTTAAAGTACTTACAGTTAGCTTATTTACATTTTAATATTTATTATTATAATACTGTGATGCAATTTTAAAATTAATACCGTATAATAAAGTATAAAATATGCAAAAGTTTATTTGAAATTATTTATATAAAATCATTTTATATAGAAATATTATAATAGATAAATTACTGTCAAGGTGAGCTTAAATTTTATAGCATTTAACTGAAGGCTTCGTGAGTGGATAAATAAAATATTAAATAAAGTTTTAAAATAATTTTATTGTGTCAGCATAAAATTTAATTCCAATACACATACGACTGAATTGAATGCTCGGGTATATGTGTGTCAACTTTACCATGAGCGGGGTCACTAATAGTAATATCTATGGGGTTGGGACTATCATTCACCATAACAACGACCACTGATTTATCCGGTGTTTCGAAAGCAATAGACTTGAAATCTTTTTCAATTTTACTGGCTGTCAACTCAACTCTAACTGAGTCGGGTGCTACGAATTTACTAAAATGTCCAATGGCATAAAATTGGGGATTTTTGAAATATTCCTTGTTGTCAACATCAATTATCAGGGGTGCGTCAGCCATTTTCTTATCCTTATTAGGGTTGCCAAACACGCTCAGGGCCAAATTCCACTCCACCCAACCGCTTACCCAATGGCTAAAATTCTATTTAATTAAATATAATTATTTACACTTATTAGTTGTTCATACTCAAATTAACGCCTTACGTCTATTATCTGGCGGGCATAGCCACTGCCTGAGTCCCATATGCCCAGTCGTGCCCTTTCTGTAGGATCGGTAGGTTTGTGAAAATGTGTACAACATTCGGTCATAAAAGTAAAATATTCCGGGTATTTTTTGTGTAGGGCATCCACTGCCTCATATTTATTAGACAGGTAGCAATGGAATGCAATTCCTAATCAATGTATAAGGTATGACTATTATTATAAACAAGGGTATTTGAGTCATTTGCAAAAGATTACCAGTAATATATTTAGCAGCATCCTTGTCACTGAGGCAAGTGTCCACGTACTCGATCATAGGATTCTTATCGCTGCCATCATCATAAACCATCAAGTTCATTTTGTCTTTCGTGTAGCCAGCTTTATTTAGTGCGGGACCAAGATGCTTTTTCACAAAGTCTCGCTCAATAGATGCGTTTAGGAAGTGCATAGAGCTAAATGACATTGGCTCATTTTGCATGGTCAGTCCCCATAACTCAATGCCATTCTTTTTGTACTCATCCAGGAACCTATGTAAAAATACATTTAAATAATTGTAATGTGATTTGTCATTGATGATTGTTAAGTACTAACTTGACAAAATAGTTAGCCCATGTCTCATATTGTTTATCTGGTTGGGTTTTCAATTTTTGAGCATCATTCAACCAATGCGGTGTATTCCAGGGACTGCCGTAAAGTTTAAGTCCATGTTGAGCCACCTGTTTAGCTAATTTAATTTGGGGAATCTATTGAATAAGGTTTAAATTTTTAAAACAAATTCCAATTTATTACAATTTTTATGTGTTTTTAAATAATCCATTAAATAGGCCATAAAAATCATATGTATGCAACTGTGTACGGTAACAGTGCCCAACTATTAATACTAATATTACAATATTAAATACTATTAAAAACAATTATGCTAAACTAAATAAATTATGTTGAATATTCATACTATAATTTATAAAATATCTTATAAAAATTAAAAATACCTTGTATTTAATTTCCTCATCAGGCATAGTAAAATGTTCAAGTGAATAATCATCCTTTGTATCATCATATGTGTACTCATGGGTCGAGAAATCGCAGCCAGCTATAGGTATACGAGCCATACTGAACCCAATACCAGATGCTGAGAAATAGTCCTTGATAACCCTATCGGACATGTCCTTGGGCAAACTACCAATATTAATAGCGGCTGCATCGGTAAACGCGGCACCTATACCAAATATCTTTTGGAACCTTTTACTTTTGTCCAGGGTCAGTGTCACCCGATCAGCATTATCATGGTCATTTTGTTTGACAAATTTTAACTGGGATTCTTTGAATCTGTCCCCACTCTTACTGGACTGGTAGGACAGTATTGTGCCAACGGGTTGTTTGGTAATAGGATCTAGGTCATCGCAATAGGTAGCGTTGCAAACACAGTATTGAGTGTCATTTCCCTTACGACCAACGCATTCGTGTCTGCATTCAATTACCGCTATATATAATAATTAACAAATTTGCATTAAATTAATGTAAAGTTTTTAATAAAACATAAATTTTAATTACCAAAAGTAAATGAAAATACAACAAATGTAAGGAAAATACAATTAAGATTCATTTTAAAGTAAATCAAAATGAATTTCACTTCTAACTTGCTCAAACTTAAATAACATGCACTTTATATATCCAAGTTTTATCAATTTCAATGGAAATAGTATACGTACACTAAGTATACTATAATGCAATACACTTTAATGTGAAATAGTTTATAAAAACACTCTACCATTAAATAATCAATACTGCACATCTGTACATTATAATAGATAAAGTATACATGCACTTGTCCACATTCACACCTGGGTAAACGTTCTCAAATATTTTTTTTAATTCTTAGATAAATACAAGGATATAAATAGTGTTCTGAAAGTAAAACTTAATATGAGAAATACTGTATACATCCTTATTATAATAAACTAAAGATAAACTAATTACCTGTTGTCTAATTAACGACAAATTTTTAGTACCGGAGTCCGTCAAGATTGGTATCCTTGAAGACAACCCCCTGTCCGGTGTGTACAGCTCTGCCATTCAGAGACCCGACGGAGGGGTTGTCGTCATTGTCTTCAATAAAAGGGAGGACTCGTTGGCGTTGACTATAACGAGGGCAGCAATCGAGCCACTCATACCGCCAAACACCTTGCTATTCAGTCGTACAGTATATCTAATGTTATTATAATAATTAAAGAGCTAATTTTATGAAGTTTATATTTTTGTCATAAATAAAACTATTAGAACTTTATTAAACTTTTTTGTAAATACAATTTCTTATTTCTTAAGGACTCATTAAAAAATTTATTTTAGTTAATTTTATTTAGCATTTTTAAATGCACGGCAACTGAAATTTAATTTGAATTAATTGATGATTTGTCACGCAAATATTAAAATTAGATTCTACAATTATGGTATTATTTTAAATCCTGTACAATTTGTAGAGTCATTAAAATGATTCATTATTGAAATTATTACAAGTAATAAGGAGAGTTTTGTAAAATATTATAAATAACATTATGGTATTTTGTAATTGAAATCAATTTTATTGTGTTATATTATAGCAAATAAAACATTATGATATAACAAAAAACAAGTTAAGTAATTTGTTAATAACTTAGTTAAGTTGCAATTTGTAATAACTATCACATATTAATTTTCTAAAAAAGACTTTTATATTAATAATTTAATAAGATTTATTATTCGCCATAAACTATCAAGATGCATTTAAAAATAACGATATATATGTCAATAATTTACACGCTACAGTTGATACAGTTGATTTCAAACATTGTGTATATAAAATGTTTTAAGCTTTCAGTAAATGAGCATCAAATGTTGCTAACCTATGATAATAGAAAACGTTATAAAATATTGATCCTGAACCTAGTTTATGCCGATTCTTTATCATTAATATTAAATATAATGCCGGTGTTTATTATAAGCCCATTGTATGCAACCAGTCAGTCGGACGTCCCCACTGTGTTACAGACTGTCAAAAACTACTACGACTCGTGCATATTATATTTAGAGTCGTTTACCATGGTCATAATAGCTTGGGACCGGTATTTAACCTTTAAATACGTCTACCCGAAGTTAAATTGGATGAATAACTTTAGCAAAGTAAAGATATTAGCGATTATATGGTTATCAAGTGTGATCTTATCTATGCCATTTTTGGCAACAAGCTACATGATTTATTACGATTACCAAACTCAGCTATATGTATGCAATATTGGCAATAATATAATCAACGATTGGTTAACCGGGTTAGGTATCAAAACGTATACACGAATATTCCGTATGTTTACCGAATTTGTGTTACCAACCTTGGTCGTAATATACTTTTCAATAAAAACAACCTACATCTACTTTACTGGATTTGAAAGTAATAATATCAACCTCTTAACAAAAGTAATTCATGTTACAAAAGGCATGTTATTGATGCTAACGTTAGTGACAATTAGAAAGTTGCTGTTTCATTTTGGCAATAAATTCTCGATGTACTCGTCGCAGGATACCTGTGCTTTCATAAGTGAATATCGCCATCGTTTCTATATTGTATCCACTATTTTGTCATTTAAAACAATTGCGAATCTTATATTCAGTTATATCAACACAAATCATAATATTACAAACAAGAGATTAAGACATAATGTAAGATTTACCGGTATTGAACTTACAAATCTGAATAGTTAAATAAAAAAATTTAAGCAATGCTGTATTATATTTTTAATACATGTTTACCTAATACTGTAGACGTACTAAAACTTTAAAAATATCAATATAAAAATAAATTCACAATTACTATTTTTGCCAATTCATATTTGTTTACAACTTTTTAAGCTAGTTTTTATACAATAAATAATTATTACAGTCAATAAAGACATACACCTTTACTATTTAATTTATAACATATTTAAATTTTAAAAATATTAAAATAAAACTTTTAATGTGCATAAGTTACTATATTTATGAAATTTTACAATAAAATTTTATTTAACAGTTACTATTTTATAGATTTAATAATTTATATTCAAAATAAATCTTTTAAAATATTATAATATATTTTGCAACATATTATAATATCTAAAATATCACCACTTCTTAATCGCAGCCATAAGTAGACCTCTATTACCACTCCAGCCGCCATTATCGCCATAACGAGCACCCGATCCATCTCCGAGTCCGCCATCCAAGCCCTGGTTGAGTCTCCCCGCCTGACCCCTGGCCACTATCGTACGTACGTTCTCCTGGACGGGTCGGATCTCCTGTACGACAGTCCTCGAGGGGACGATCACTTCGCGTACGTCCTGTTGAACGGGTCTCAGGATCTCTTGCAAGAGATGGTGGGGTTCATCAACACTGGATGAGTGCTGAACACTACCCGGCCGTGAGATGTGCCGTTGGGTTGTGCTCAGGGAACTCGATTTGGTCATGAAGTTTATCTGCACCGGTAGGTTGACTGGCTCTACCACTACGTCTGTTGCGTCGGCTATACCTCCCGATGACTGGACAGGGATTTCTTCGATTGAACGTTGGCTGAGAACGGCTGCCGGAATTGTTTGACTATAAGCCTGGCCACCCATATAACTCCTTTGTGAATAACTGCTACCAAAACACGGGGAAGTGGTGGCTACCAGTGCAATGATTATCGACTTTATAATAAAAAACTTAAAAACTTTAATTATTTATTTTATTTTAGAAAATATTTAAATTATATTAAAACTTATGTGGGTAATTAAATAAATAGTAATCTAACTAGTAAGTAAAATAATTGTATATAATTTCTATGTAAGCATTCGCCATGGAAAGGTTAGGCATAATAAATAAAATTAAAGTCAATTATCAATCAATTTAGTTTACAGGTTTTGCTCACTAATAAAATACTAGTGATAAAAGAGTTTAAAATCTTGTTTATATATTTAATTGTAAACTACAATTATATTAATATTTTAGTTTTTATATAATATTATTTATACGGTACAATATAATTTAATATTTGTTTTATTATTAATATAAGTACAAATCGTGTAATATGGTTAGTATAGAATTTATTAAATTTAAAGTAAATTTTACTTACTTTAATCATATTTATTGTACAGTATTTTAGTTAGAATTTTATTTTACAATAAATTTTTGTATTCAATAAAATCAGTAATACTTAAAGAAATTTAATTGCGGCACAAATTATGTGATTTAATTATACTGCAATAATTTCACACGTATTTATAGTTCATATTAATATTTTATTTTTATTGATATACAACATATATAAAACATGAATTAATTATTGCATAACTATTATTATGAAATTAAACACTTTTAGATGTTTTATTTGTATACTCATTAAAATTTTACTACTGTGTCATTTACAGTATTAATAATATTTGTCATGTGAAATTAATTATTTTTGTTTATAATTGGATTATTGGATTACTTATAAAATGTTTTATCTTATAAATTATTTTTTATATATTTGAAAAATATTTCAAATATTTTTATTTCGCTTTTTGCAAATATAATAAATATAAATAAATAAAAGTATGAATTTATATTATTTACACCAATAAAATTCAACTATTAAATAATACAAACACTAATTAATTTTAGCATGTACTTAAATACTGTAAATAATTATATTTTTAATGTATAATTCATTTATTTATATGCTAACATTTATATATTGTATTTATATCTACTATCTCAAACAAAAAATATAAAATAAAAGTTCAAAAAACTTTCCGTCAATTAACACATTAAATAAAGTAATAATTTTTATTTTTTATAACATACCTGAACCAATAATTTGTATAAATTGCAAAATAATACACGATTTTCTGTTTTAATTTATATTTATTTCATAGACATTACATTTAATTCCAGTAAATATATGACTGAATAGACTGCCCGGGAACATGTGCGTCAACTGTGCCATGAGCTGGATCATTGATAGTTATATCAATCGGGTTACCACCACTATTGACCAACTCAATAACTACTGAATTATCTAGTCTTACAAAAGCAATAGACTTGAAATTTCCGGGAGTTTGACTGGCTGTCAACTCAACCCTAACTGAATCGGGTGCTATAAACTTGCTAAAGTGCCCGATGGCATAGAAGTTGGGATTTTTGAAATATTCCTTGTTTTTAGCATCAATGAGCAAGGGTGCGTCAGCCATTTTCAAATCTTTGTTAGGGTGACCAAATGTGTCCAGGGCCAAATTCCATTCCACCCAACCACTCACCCAGTGATGAAAAGTCTAATGATACAAATGTAGAATTACATATTCCTTGATCATTTATATTTTCAATTTATATACACTTACATCTACAATTTGATTGGCATAATTAGTTGCCTGTCCCCACTCGCCCAGAGTGGCCGGTGTGAATGGGTCGGTATTTTTGCGAAAGTTTTGACAACATTCACTCATTAGTGTAAATACATCAGGTACTTCTGGTGCAATGCATCGATACCGGGATACCTAGTAGACAGATAACAATGGAATGCGATGCCTATATAAAGTAGACAGGTGATTTAATTTAGGAAGATTTATTTATTTAAGCTCCAAACGTA